CCATCATGCAGCATGGTGACCATAGACACTGTATCCCATCATGCATCATAACGACCATAGACACTGTATCCCATCATGCATCATAACGACCATAGACACTGTATCCCATCATGTATCATCATGACCATACACTGTATCCCATCATGCATCAGTGACCATAGACACTGTATCCCATCATGCATCACAGCGACCATATTCACTGTATCCCATCATGCATCATAGTGACCATAGACACTATCCAGTGTTCTCCGCAAGGGGTTTTAGGTGGGCGGCCCGCCCATCAAGTTTTACGACCGCCTAGTAACTCTCAACACCCGCCCACCCAATTATTTGTAAAAAGCTTGCATTGTTCTTCCCAAGCCTAAACAAAAAGTAGTTGCCCAACCCTTTATTTTGCTATTGTTTCAAGAGTCCAAACATAAACAATGACCACTGGAAGTCTGCAAGCAGTTATCAAGTGTGTTCATGGCAATGTGTCAATCGCCTGAATTCATCGTTGCCCGACATTGTTGCCACTTATTGCTCACGATACGCAACTACAGTGGTTTCAATTTACAGCTGTATTTTTAATAATAGTCTTCCAATCACGAAAGAAAGAATTAAATACGAACGAAATGTATATGCACAGAAAATAAACAAATATATTAGCATATTGCATGTAAACTCGAACAAAAATTAAAATTCTAGCCGTATTTACAACGTTCGCTTGATTTTCATCGTGAAAACAGCATGGAGAAGGCAAACTGGTGACTTTTTGGCCTACCCCATTCAACGACCGTCGGCCACCCACCTGTGTTGGCGCTGTAATGATTTAGTATCTAAGTTGCATAGGGGAGCAGCGCATTCTGGGTGTTCGTGTACTGAATTCGGAAAGCGGTAATAAACATCAAACATGGCTGCCGGATTAGTTTACCGCGAGTATTTGTAATTGAATAATATTTTAGTTATCTTTTCCACGTACTTTTTTTCATTTATCCATTTTTTATGTCTAATCTTTCGAGAACATAGCAGATTCTTTTATTTTGCCGATTGCTAGCATTTTTCTTGAATCCCAAAGCAACGTGTGAAAATGCAACGTATCGTGACCGTACATGCGTAAATGCATGTCTGTCGGCACGGGTGAGTACTGATGCCACAAATAAAAAATGTTATGAGTTTTATTTTGACAAATCGTCCGTTTTGGCGTCGGGAACAAATCACCTCGTATATTTTCTACATTATAACTCGTACTTGCTCTTGGTTACTCGAATTGCATTTCTTGAACGCAGAATAATTTGCGAACGTATAAATCACCGATTTCAAACTTTTTGCATTTCGTAAATATTAATAGTGACCAATCTGTTTGTATTTCAAAAAATTGTAACATGTTTCAATTAAATTAAAAAGAGAATAGTAAATAACTTAGTGTGTATTGCAGTTCGTGACATAAATGCTAGAATGCTGTATGTAAATGATATGCAAATTAATATGCAAATTTATACTAATTAGGCCGCCCATCAGCTATTTTAGATTGTGGAGAACACTGCATCATGCATCAGTGACCATATACACTGTATCCCATCATGCATCAGTGACCATATACACTTTATCTCATCATGCATCACAGAGACCAGACACCATCCCATCATGCATCAGTGTCCATAGACACCATCCCATCATGCATCATATTGACCATAGACACTGTATCCCATCATGCATCATATTGACCATAGACACTTAAACATTTAAGTTGTTTTTTACTAGTTATTTGTTTAATGATGCTCCGTCTTCTGTTTCCTTGCCCACAAATCTGCTGCTATATCAAAACTGGTAGTTCCTTTAATGCTATGAATAGGTGGTTGAATGTTGTTTCATTTATTCGACTTGGCAGCATTTCAATCGTAACACTGTACTTTTTCAATTTAGACCAAACATTCATTCTATTTTTTGACCTTATTTCATGTTTTCCCCGAAGGAAACACAATAATCCTAGAAAATACAAACACAATTCTTAATGAAACATGTTTTACATGTTGTGGGTTGCAGAAAGTGAAATAAAATAATTTACCTTTTCGTCTGGAGTTTGACGCAACTAATCATAGCTTTCAAGCCATGCTTATTGATTGCAGTCTTCAATCTCTTCGAATCTTTCCCTAGTCAGACACATTTTTCTCATTAGTAGGGCAGTGATTTTCATTTCTTCTGTATTGGAGTTGATAACAAAATGAGAGCATCGAGTGTTGGTTTTCTTGAGACAAAATTATGCGATATGTGTATTGTACTATAGTCGACGAAAAGTATTTTAGTGGTCAAAACTTTAACAATTCACTACCGTCCAGAACTCGACCGGCTTATTGATTTGAGTTGCATGCTCAGTAAAAAACATTGGTCTGACCAATACAATAACAAGCCGGTAGGCTGGTTGGCGATTCGCTCCGCTCAAAAACAAGCAACATGTCTTTTTGGCTGTTTCCATGGTGACATAAACGTGAAGCTAACGTCGGTTTATAACTAATACGAAGTTCGCAAACACCATTCAGTCTTTAGAAATCACTTAGTTTATTACTAGGACCACAGTTACTCTCCTAGTAGACTGTGCTAGGACGTATTCTGCTGTTACATTTATTATTTCCAACCGTTTTGCGATAGCATTTTCTAGAATGAAGCGTTTCCTGTAAATGCTGGAAAGCGAAATAATGAAATAACGAAATGGTAAATATTTATCTAAATTGCAGTGTGTTGACCTTCATAACAATGTACTTCATAATGCAAAACACTAGTCACAGTGAGTAATTTAAATATACGACTCCTAATCGAAAAATATGACCACAGTCTAGAATTTCAGACAGATATTAAGCAACCTAAGAGCGTATCAGAAGCATTTACTCTAAAATATAAAAAGAGAACTGCAGTCAAAAGTCAAGAATGCCAGCAAATGAAAGGACTCTGTCCCACAATCCTTTTTGCGCGTTATTACGGACACGCGCAAAAAACTGTACCACGTTTGTCAAATCTGGGTCAAATATACAGTACGCACAGATTATTTAGTAGTGGAGTGTTCGGTGACCATTGAATTAGCCCGTGATTCATATTTTATGTGTATTAATTTATCATCAATTTTCGTGACTGACAGTACTGCCCAAATTTAGTCAAAAAACGCAACTGGAGAA